ATGCAGGAGGGAGAAAGCGAGGAGAAAGAATTCATGTGGCATCTGGAGGGCACAGTGTGGGAAAGGCAGGAGGCACCAGAAGAGATTTAAGGTAACCTCATAGATAAGTGACCCAGTCACCAAGTGAGATAAAGGGGAGAAGGGGTCTGTGGAGCATGTGATATACCCTTCAAAAGGGATCCAAACATCCTCGGGCATTTTCTTGTATCGTCTGCGGAAGAAAAGAAACCATGGTATGGAGGAAAGTTTGTGTGTGTGCTGATGTGTGTGTTTTGTGAAGACAAAGGGGGTTGAGCGGGACTGTTTACTGCTAGGAGGCCAAGATCATGGACCCAAGTAATCTGGGTGGACAAGTCCCAGGAAAACAGATCAAGGTCACATGCTTGGGAAAACATCCATTGTCAGAGACATCAAACCAAGAGGAATAGAGCTAGAGCCTGAATTAAAAGAAGAGCCAGGGTGTGGGTTGATCTGAAAGAAAGACAGTTGGGTTCTTTAGATGGATGTTCAGTGTTTTGTTTTAGATTGCCATGCCCCTGCCTTTTGTGGGCCATTTGCAAAGGGCAGCCGTTCTCCACTGCTTCTGACAGGGGACTTAATGTGGAGTGCCAAAGGTCTCTGGCAGTTCAAGGGAAGCATCAGCAGCCAGAAATGTCCTAGATAAGGGAGCAAGGCCCTTGGAGAAGCCATCACTTTTTTTGGACCAGAACCACTCTTTTATATTTAAAAAAAAATACACAAAAGAGCTTCTGGTGAAAAGCAATGGTGTCTCCACCCGCAACCCTACTTTCCAGAAGCAAGCTCTTTTAGTTCTTTGGAAAAATCCAAACATGTAAATAATATGTGTTTATACTCCTTTTTCTTGATTTATCTACATATTCTATCTATTGGCTCCTTAATATGAAAGTTGAATATTTAACTCACTAACATTCTATTTTCTCTCCTTGTCTACCTATCAACATTTGATTGTTTTATTATTTTTATTCCTTTATTGTTTGCTTTCAAATTTTTTAATGTTTATTTATTTTTGAGAGAGAGAGAGAGAGAGAGCATGAGTGGGGGAGAGGCAGAAAGAGAGACACACACAGAATCCAAAGCAAGCTCCAGGCTCTGAGCTGTTAGCACAGAGCCCTACGTGGGGCTTGAACTTGTGAACCAAGAGATCATGACCTGAGCCGAAATTGGATGCTTAACTGACTGAGCCACCCAGACGCTCCTGGTTACTTGCAAGTGAGACTAAAATTTCTATTTCTTGGTATGTCAATTTGATTCTCCATTTCATGAAATGAAGGTATTTTCTTTGTTTTGTTATTTTTTTCTCTCTCTTTATTTCATCCCACATTCTGGCCAAACCTTTCTACTTTGACATTGCGTCAAGTTTGTTAGTATTTACTTTTACTTCCATCACAACAACCAAGACCTCTGTGTTGAGTCCATAGTTGACTCTAAAAGTTAAAAATCAATACATGCTTAACATTGCGTTGATTGCCCTAGTCTATGCTGAAGGCTAGGATTACCTTTCTTTCTGGGAGCCCAGTGGAAAGATCCAGGAGCTGATTAAAATGAACTGTTCCTAGCTTCGAGGTCAAATGGGTATTCCTTTTTACACTGCACCAGCTGCCCCAAATCTCAAGATGTTTTGTGTGCTTTATATGTGATGGACGTCTTTCTTGGATAGCTTTCTGTTTTTCCTGGAGTTGCTAATTTTCTGTTCCCTTTCTCATAATTTATCATCTCTTCAAGTGTTTCTTGTCTTTAACTCATTTTCTCTACTCTATAGCATCTTTTCTCAGAGACCCTCCTTCTCCCAGAATCCTTGGTCCAGCTTCACAGCTGATATCCAAGAATTCTCCTCCGCGTTCCTGAGTTGGAGCATTTGGACGTCCTCTCTTTCTTGGTTTACCTCCTATTTGCTGTGTATGTCATCAAGTAGTATCCTAAGAAGGGATGAAGTTTTTATCTTTGAAAATCCTTTATTCTGCCCTCACACTTACTACATAATATACTGTGTATAGAACGGTTAAAAATAATTCTAGGTTAAAAACAATTTTGAAGACACATATTTGAAAGTCTGACGATGCTGAAGAAACTTGACGGCCAACTAATCTTATTCTTTTTGAAATGTCTTGTTTTATTTTCTGAGAGCTTTAATCTCTCTCTTTTGTTTTTTGGTGTCCTAAAATTTCATACCAATGGGTTGAGGTGGGAGGATTTTTGTTGTTCCCTTTAGCTGAGCTGGCATTCAGTGGGCCTTTTCCCTCTGAAGAGTCAAGTCTTTAACTTCAGAAATGTTCGACTTATTTCTCCTTTAAACATATCCTTGCCTCCATTTCCTCTGTCCATTCTCTCCCAAGATTATTAGTCTGTCATCAAATCAGATCTTTTACATCATCCCTTAGCTATTCTGATTTTCTTTTTTTTTTCTTTTTTTTTTTTTTAATTTTTTTTTCAACGTTTTTTATTTATTTTTGGGACAGAGAGAGACGGAGCACGAACGGGCGAGGGGCAGAGAGAGAGGGATACACAGCATCGGAAGCAGGCTCCAGGCTCCGAGCCGTCAGCCCAGAGCCCGACGCGGGGCTCGAACTCCCGGACCGCGAGATCGTGACCTGAGCTGAGGTCGGACGCTTAACCGACCGCGCCACCCAGGCGCCCCTATTCTGATTTTCTTGATCTTATTTGAAGGTCTTATATTGACATTTTTTAATTTGAATTTTAATTCTTTGAGAGAGAGAGAGTGCGCGCAAGCAGGAGGGGGGCAGAGAGGCAGAGGGAGAGACAATTTCAAGCAGGCTTTGCACTGTCAGCACAGAGCCCGACGAGGGACTCGAACTCACAAACCGTGAGATCGTGATCTGAACCAAAGCTGGACCCTGAACCGACTGAGCCACCCAGGTGCCCAACAAATTTCTTTATATTCGCTGTTTATCATATCATTTGATTGCTTTGTAGATATTTCATAGCATCTTTGCAAAGTTCTCGAACTATATTAAGTAGAAGATTTCTTTTCAAATTTCTCAGACTAGAAGATTTTAGTTGTTAATTCTTTTCCATTCTGTGAATTATCTGTGTTATCTCCAGGGTCTGTTTTTGAATGTGTTTATTTTGGCCATCTGCATCCATGTTGCTTTCTCATATCATACACACGAGATAAAACTGATGTCCTCATTCCTTTCTGTTGAAGAAAGAAGGGTCAGCGCTGATTAGCTGGTGCATGGTTCCTATGGTCGTTACAGAGATTCTGGCTTGGAGCTTGGCGTAGGGTAGAGCAGGGCATAAAGACTAGACAGTTTGTCCTTTTTAAGACAAATAGGATTGCACTTAGCTCTCATGCTGCAGGCCCCATAGCCATCCCAGATGCCAATCCCCACTCCAGAAACTTCAGCTGAACTTTGTGATGTGGCATTGTGCCTAGTTGGAAATACTGGCCATCTGTTTATACCCTTGATTATAATTTTGCTTGTCTCTCTGCCCTCTGACCCTGTGGCTGGATGCTCCCCCCGCCCCAAGGGTTCTAGCAGCAAGATTGGTCCCCACCTCTCTGAAACCCTCTTGAAGTAAATTCTCAGTGGTGTTTTTCTTCTTCTTTTGTCTGTCCTCTATTCCCCATCTCCTAGAAACTAGCTGAAATTTGCCTTTTGCCCACCCTTTCATATCTTTACCTATTATGAGTGTATTTGTTTTTTTGTACTTCTAAGATGTCATTTCAGTGAGTTCTTGGGAAGTAAATACGTGTGGCTAGTCTGCCGTCACAAAATGGAAAGCAGGCTGGTAGTCACAGATTTAGAAACCTCTTAATAGAGGCATTCGGAGGGCCTGGGTGCCTCAGTTGGTTAAGCATCCGGCTCTTGGTCTCAGCTCGGGTCATAATCTCACGGTTCATGAGATTGAGCCCCAGTTGGGCTCTGCACTGAAAATGCGGAATCTTCTTGGGATTCTGTCTCCCTCTCTGTCTGCCCCTCTCCCGCTCGCTATCTCTCAAAATAAATAAATTTTTAAAAATAGTTTAAAAAGGGGCACCTGTGTGGCTCAGTCAGTTGAGCGTCCGACTTCGGCTCCACTCATGATCTCGTGGTTCGTGGGTTCGAGCACCACGTCAGGCTCTGTGCTGATGGGTCAGAGCCTGGAGCCTGCTTCAGATTCCACGAGACACAGAATCTCTGCCCCTCTCCCATTCACGCTCTGTCTCTGTCTCTGTCTATCTCAAAAATAAATAAACATTTTTTTTTTTTAATTTTTTTTTTTTCAACGTTTATTTATTTTTGGGACAGAGAGAGACAGAGCATAATGAACGGGAGGCAGAGAGGAGACACAGAATCGAAACAGGCTCCAGGCTCTGAGCCATCAGCCCAAGCTAGGCCTGACGCTGGCTCGAACTCATGACCATGAGATCATGACCTGGTTGAACTGAAGTCGGACGCTAATCACTGGCGCCACCCAGGCTCTCAAATAATTTAAAATAAACATGCAGTAGTTAGAAAACAAAACAAAACAGAGGAATTATGCTTCTTAGTGGCCAGACTATCCTAGGAAACTCTTAGGGGTTTGAATAGCATTAATTCATTCAATAGATAATTAATGGGCATTCCCTGTATGTTGGGCATGAGGCAAAGCACTGGGCCCACAGCACTGAATGAGATGTGGTACCTCCTCCAAGGAGCTTATGCTCTGATCAGGGAGACCGATACATGCAAATGATGACACAGGGGACATGTTCTGTAACAAGGTAGTCAATGGGATGGCCTGTAATGGGGAGGACCTACTGGGTTTTGAGAGGGGCCACAACAGATTTCTCAGGGAAGTTATTCTTTCAGAGGGTCTGTCCTTCCAAGAATTACGCGTTATCTTCAGTCCACAGATATCAGGAAGGAAAGTTGATGTTACTTCCTGCCACCCTGCCTGCCCACAGGCGCTGCCCTCACTCTGGAGGCATAGAACCACTGACACTGCCCCCTGTGCCCTTCTGCCTGCCCCGGGCGAGCTGCCCTCTGGAAACCTACCTGTGCCCTTCGTCCCCGGCGATGTGAAACCTAGAACCAAGCAATTTTACGGTTAGAATCAAAGTACAGAGTGCGAAGTACGACGTGTGTGAAGAGTTCGTAATGAAAAGCAGCAGCCCCCTGCCCGCCCTTCCTTGCTGCCCCCCTTCCCGGAGGCTTTTGATTTTCTCATGGGCTGCCTCTGGTATTTACTTCTATATCTTTAAGCAGCGGGTTTTTACTGCTACTCCTTCTCGATCCATGTTGGACGTTGTGTATTCACTTCCTTTTATGGCGGGTGAGACTACAGACCGGACGCAGGACCATCTCCATTTTACCTCCCCCCCCCACCCATCCTTTAAAAAAGGCGGTATCACCATTTTATTAAATCAATTACATTGGTGTTGTAAGATTTCACGGGCAGTCAAATTGTGTACCATAATTACATTTGCTTTTTGGCTTCCTACTGTTAAATGCATCTTTCTGTTCCTTCATTTCCTTAGTTTCCCAGGTGTCGGGCTTGATTTTTCCACCTGTTTCTTTCAATCCGGAAGAGGAGGTCCATATCAGTGGTTAAAACCACGGGTCGTCAATAAGCATCATCATTTTTATTATTTCTCATTATCCTATGACAATGTTTTTATGAACAGTGAAACACATCCAAGAATCTAGAAATAGTGCGCTTTTCCTGGAGACCTCTATTCTGGAGGCTTTTGCCCTCCTGTTCCCATCCACCTTATTTTCTAGTATTTTTCAGAAAATTGCCTTCATCTTCTACTTTCCTCCTTCTGCTTCCCTGTGATGGAGTTTCTATTTCATGGTTTCTAGTCTCTCTGTTCCCCAGCAGACTCTTTTGTCTTTCTGGAGCATACCTTCCAGAAGCTTCTTCCCAAGAAAGGACTTATGGGAGATAAAGTTTAAAAATCCTTGTATGATACTGGTGCCTAGGGGTGGCTCAGTCAGTTGAGCGTCTTGACTCTTAATTTCGGCTCAGGTCATGATCCCAGGATCGTGAGATTGAGCCCCACATCAGGCTCCGTGCTGGGGCCTGCTTGGGAGTTTCTCTCTCCCTCCCTCTGCCCTTTCCCCATGTGTGCTCTCTGTCTTTCTCTCTCAAAAAAAAAAGTCTTTATATTAATTGCTAAGTGATAGCTTGATTCAAATGATAGTGTTATTTTGACAGCCATTTGCTTTTAGAAATCTGAAGGCATTTTTCCATTTCTATTAAAAAAATTTTTTTTAATGTTTTATTTATTTTTGAGACAGAGACAGAGCATGAGTGGGGGAGGGGCAGAGAGAGAGAGAGAGAGAGAGAGAGAGGGAGACACAGAATCTGAAGCAGGCTCCAGGCTCTGAGCTGTCAGCACCGAGCCTGACACAGGTCTCGAACTCCTGAACTGGGAGATCATGACCTGAGCTGAAGTCAGACCCTTAACTGACTGAGCCACCCAGGCGCCCCATCCCTTTCTTTCTTCTTTCTTTCTTTCTTTCTTTCTTTCTTTCTTTCTTTCTTTCTTTTGTGGTAAAATATACAAAACGTGAGATTTTACCATTTTAAGTGTACAAGTCAGTGGCATTAAGTCCATCCACATTGTTGTGCAGCCATCAACATCCATCCATTTCCAGCACACTTCCATCCCAAACGGAAACTCTCTACCTGTAATCCAATAGCTTTCCATTCCCCTCTCTCCTCAACTCCTGGTAACCACTATTCCCTTTCCTGTTTCTACGAATTTATCCATTCCAGATACTTCCTACAAATGGAATCGTGTGACATTTGCCCTTTTGTGCCTGTCTAACTTCACTTAGCATAATGTTTCCAACATTCATCCACGAAGTAGCGTATATCAGAACGTCATTCCTTTTTTAACCTGAGTAATACTCCATTATATCTATATTTATCCACTTATTTGTCAATGGACATTTGGGCTGCCTCCACCTTTTGGCTACTGTAAATAAGGCGATGAACATTGGTGTACTAATATCTGTTTAAGTTCCAGTTTTAATTCTAGAAGTGAAATTGCCGGTTCATGTTAACTCTACGTTAAATTCTTTGAGGAACACCAAACTTTTTTCCACAATGGCTATGCCATTTTACATTCCCACCAGCAATGCATGAAGATTCCAGTTTCTCCATATCCTCACAATCATTTGTTATTTTCCACTTAGAAAAAAAAAATACATACATCAAAACCACAATGAGATGTCACTTTAGACGCACTGATGGCTGATATATATTAATATATTAGTATAAATATATTATTTATGCTAGTATAAAATATATCTCATTGTGGCTTTGAGATGCATTTCCTCAATGACAAATAACATTGAACATCTCTGCGTGTGCTTATTGGTCATCTGTACATCTTCTTTGGAGAAATGTCTATTCTAGCCCATTGCCTAGTTTTTAATCAGGCTGTTTTTTGTTGGTGAGTTATAGGAGTTCTTCATATATTGTGAGTATTAATCTCTTACCAGATATATGATTTGCGAATATTTTCTCCCCTTTTGTTGCTTGTCTTCTTGCTCTCTTGATAGTATCATTTGCACAAAAGTTTTTAATTTTACTGACATCTAATTTGTCCACTTTTGTTGTTGCCTGTGCCCTCAGTTTCCTGCCCATGAAATCATTGCCAAATCTCATGTTATGAAGATTATCCCCTGTGTTTCCTTCTAAAAATTTTTAAAGTTTAGCTCTTGAATTTAAGTCTTTGGTCCATTTTGCATTTACTTTGTATATGGTGTAAAGGAAGGATCTTTCTTTCTTTCTTTCTTTCTTTCTTTCTTTCTTTCTTTCTTTCTTTCTTTCTTTTTTAAGATTTTATTTTTAAGTAATTTCCACACCCAACATGGGGCTTGAACTCACAACCCCAAGATCAAGAGTCACTCACTATCGACTGAGCCATCCAGCCACCCTGGGTCTGTCTTCATTCTTTCACATATAAATACCCAGTTTTCCCACCATCATTGTTGAAAAGATTTTCATTTCCTCCATTGAATGGTCTCGACATCCTTGTCAAAAATCAGTTGACCATATATGCCCCATTGCCTTTTAACTACCAACATTGTCATTGAGAAGCTTGGTGCCATCCTGATTCCTGGTTCTTTGGAAGTGAACAATCTTTTAATTTTGTGGAGATTCTAACCTTAGTATTGGGAAATTTCATGCTAATGTATCCTTATGTGTCTTTTTGTCATTCATTTTTACAGGTACTTGGTGGGTTCTGTTTTAGGAAATTGTTCTTGAAGCTATTTCCTTGATAACTTCCTCCCTTCCATTTTATCCATTTTTTCTTTGTAACTTCTGGTGCTATGTTTCTTTTCTCTACTATTTTTCTCCCCTTTTCCCTTTTCTGATTTACCTTAAGCAAGACTTCTTCAATTAATATCATTCAACTCTTCTATTGGATTTTTAAAAAAAAAAAATAGGCTCATGTTTACTTTTAAAGAACTTTGGGTAATTTTCTGATTGTTTCTTAACATTGTATTCTTGTTTTAGCAAAGTAATGTATTCTTTTATTTTTTAAATAGTATTTGACATTTTCTTCTGTTGCCTTCAGAGTTTACACATGTTTCTTCTATTTGTTTATTTTGTGTTCTCTCTTTCATGTTAGAGATTTTTCCTCAAATATGTGGTGATCCATGCTATTTACAAGTAAGGTACTAAAATATTGCTTGAAAATTCTATTGTGGGAGTAATGATTGTTTTTCCATGGGCTTCATTTTAGCATGATCAAATGGAGCTGTCTTTTTTGTTGCAGGAAATCCAGTCATCGTACGATCTTTTAATTATTTTCCCTCCTCATCTAAACCACAAGCTCCGGGAGTCTAGAGACCTTGTTTTATAAATGGTTTTATTCCCTTCAATGCCTATCATTATGTTTCAGTAAGGGATTAATATTTATTGATTGGTGACACTGTAATGATAGAAAAAAAAGAAGCATACACTTCAATCAAACAATATTTTTATCAAGACAAGAAATGTTACAGTCTTCTTCCTCTCTGACACCCCAAATTGATTGGTAATTTTTCAGGTGGAGCCCTAGTCTAAAACACGTATATATTTACACTAAAGGCCCACGTCTGTATTTCTGAGTTCTGCCTTCAAGGCTTGGGGCAAAAGTGGACAGGAGCTGTGGTCTGGGGGAGAGAGCCAACAGTCAGTGACCGAGTTCACCCAGGGGCATAAAAGGCTATTCTTGGTCCAGGAAATACCGAGATTTCATAGGAGGTGGTGGAGGAGGGAGTGAGATGGGTGAGGAGGCCCAGGGCGGGTTGCTCAGAGAACGAAGCAGAGCTGTGAGGGTGAAGGCAAACGACCCGGCATCAGGTACACAGTTCCAAAAGTAAATACGGGAAAAAACAAAAACAAAACCAGAAATAAGTCTTGGCCTGAAGAAAATGAGAGGCTGGGGAGGCGGTCTCTGGTTAAAAAATTAGAGTGGTTCTGTGGGCTGCCATTTTCGTCTCTACTGTCCTTTGTTCTAATTGTGTTCTGTGGGACACCATTCTCATGAGATGATCCTGAGCAAAATACAGACTGTAGAAAAAAGTGATTCTAAGGTCAGAGGTCATCCCTCTTGGAGATCTTTGTGTTGTCCTTTGTTCTAGCAACTGAACTGGTATTCTAACTAATACGGTGTTATCCTGGGACGTGGCTCCCGATATCGTGAAAGATGCACTCAAGAGGAAAATGGCCCAAACTGGCCTCCAACCATGCAAACAGCAGACCAATGATTATTGATCTGCCTCTTGGTACATCCTGTAGGTTCTGCTAGGC